TCACGGGTTCGCGGGTTCACGGGTTCCCACGGGTTCGCGGCAGGGGCCGGGCCGTATACTGTTCATGAGTGGCAAAGAAGGCTCAAACGCTTCGAAGTTTGGATTTAGGGCCTACCTTAACACCCAAAAACCTACCTTTTTTTAAGGACTTATATAAAGAAATCATGTTAAGGATCCCTAAAAAGGTAGGGTTAGTTATGGTTAATTATTTGGGGTCCAGGTAGAACTTAAGGTTTAGGGAATAGGGCTTAGGGTGAGGGCTTGAGGTTTCTATTCGGTGGGTTGACGGCTCACAGGGTCTAGGTGTTTGGGTTTCTGTGGCCACCCCGAATCAAGAGGAGCCGAAGGGTGGGCCAGGAGCTGTATTAATTCAGGGGCCTGAATACTTTCCAACATTATTCCTCAGGGCTCTTTGTTACGATTCTACCACAGCATACCCCTCAAGCCCTATTCTAACATTGTGACGGTCTCTATATCTCAGCAGTCATAGCGCCGCAACGTATCTTCAATCCCCAACTCTAGACAACAGATCCTTAAAGCGGCAATTGCGAGCCTTCACCCAAGCCGCCGTAAATTCAAACAATGGATGAGCCCTTCTCTGTACCCTACACCTATACTCTTAGAAGCCTTTGCACCGCCTTATATAAGGCTTGAAAACAGTTGCGACAGCCCTTTTCAAGCTCCACCCAAGCATTTCGAGTGTGGGATTCGGCGTTTAGGATTTCGAACAGTTGGACTTCGGGGCTAAACTCCAAAAATCTCCAGCGCTGCAGTGTTGAGAGTCTTCTTAGATTCTAAGATAGTAAGACTGATAAGGCCACAGAGTCCCTATAGATATATTGCTTCTGAAAGCCTTCGACGCGTCCCTCGCTCTAAAGACCCGACCCGACCCCGGGCTCTGATCTCGAGGGTTTAGGGTTTAGGGTTTACCTCTAGTCTCCATTGTAGTTCCTTTTTTGGTTGAACCAAAGCTGTATTAAGGATCCTAAAAGGTAACCCCAAAAAGGAACTGCAATGGAGACTTTAGGTAGGGTCTCTGAGTCCGCCACAGGAGGTTCACAGCTCCAATCGACTGGCCTTCGGAGATCGCTTCATCCAGTTTGGGCACTTTCGCATGGGCGAGGTGAACGAGGTGTGCCGCGCTTTTTCTGACCCCCCCCCCAAAAAAAAAAAAAAAAAAACGGCAAAAATCCCCGAAAGCTCTTTGGTGATTTGGCGTATCGGCTGAAGCCGCTCTTAAGTCTACGGCTTCTGGGCAGCCGGAGGTTTCTGCCTCGCCTTTGGCCTGGTCTTGCTTTAGAGCTTTAGAGCTTTGGACTTTAAGTATAGTTGCTACTGGGTAGACGAGTTTATATAGGGTTTGAGGTTTTCGGGTTAAAGACCCTTATCCCTCAACCATTTGTAAGGTTTAGGCAGGGTTTTGGGGTTACGATTCGGGGCGATGTCAGGCACACTTTTCCATCTCACACAGCGGCGGCCAGACGATCCAGATCTTCCACAAGCAGGGCACATTGCATCCGGGACCTCGCACGGACCCTCTGTTTGAGACGAGCTGGGACTTGGGGTTTAGAGTTCAAGGCTTCGACAAAGGTGGGGTATGAAGATGTGCTGCCTGGCTTATTCTTCATAGGAGTGGTGCACAAGGAAGTTCGAGTCCAAACTTTTATAGAGGCAGTGCTGGTGGGCACCGTCGGCTGCAGAAATGAACCGAGACAGCTGCCAAACGTTTCAACGGTCTCTGAGCCGTCCTCCACCGATACAATCTTACAGTCATATACAGTCAGCACGCCCCCGCTGCAAGAATGAATATGTAACCGGCCGCACAATCCCCGGTATAGCACAGTCTTTACTATGGCTATGGCAATCCTAATCTCTGAGTCTCCGACCCCGAAAACTTTGCGCAAGACTTGAACGGTCAGGGTTCAGGGTTTAGGAAACCGCTTCAAACCTTGCCATTGCAACGAAGACCATGATCGTCGTTCGTGACGTCGATATTTCGAAGGCGAGGATGATGGCGACGGTGAGCAGGAGGAGCAGGAGAAGAGCCGTAATGCTTCATGCTACCGCTGAGGGTGCTGTCGCCGTTGTGGTGGTAGGTGCCATTCGAATGTGCTTGTTTTGGTGGTAGCAGGCAGAGGAGGAGCCATTCCCAAAGCAAGACGCCCATTAGTATTAGTATTATCATTATTGTTACTATTACTATTACTATTATTATTATTATTGTTATTATTATTTTTATTTTAATTATTATTAGTAGTACTATTGCTAATATTATTACCCACTCCTTTTTTACCAAGGACTTCGGCCTCTGGAATCGGAAGGTCGGAGACGCCCTCGGTGTGAGCTTCGGCAGCTCGGCTCTTTCAGCTTTTGCAACACTTGCACCAAAGGTTCTGCGAGGGTGGTATAGGATTTTCGCCAAGAATCAGTATTTCGCAAGGGTTCTAGAAGGGTTCTCAGCAACTACGGCACACGGCTGCAAGTGAGGTAACGATCATTCAAGCAGTCCGAACCTTGGTTGAGGCATGTAGAACCCCTTACACCCTAAACCCCAAACCCCAAACTGTAAACCCTGAAGCCTATACTTATTATGCTCATGACTACTGAGGGCACTTTGGAGTAGAGATGGGTCGGAATTGAAGTGCTTGATGAAGTGGCAGCTTTAAAATATCACAAAACGAAATCTAATATAACTTAGATCAAAATTTGGACGACAAAATATTATCTTGTCATAGTGTGTTTATCTTATCTGCCATGCCATACTACGATACGTCAATATTGTACAGTGAAGTGAAGTATAGTTCAGTATAAGACGGTATGGTATGGTATGGTATAGTATGGCAGAACACAGTGTCCTACAATATAATATCATACAGTATAATGTCAGATCATACCATATCATATGAAATGCATTGATATGGTACAGTAGAATGCACCTTAGCATAGTGCACTACAGTACAACACAAAATAATGATATGTAATGTTACACTCTATAATGGTATGTAAAATATCATAACATAATACACCTTAACTCTCTATATACTGTGAATTCCTATAACTATATGATAAGACATGAGAAGCTGCAGCTGATGTGTCACAATACAACAAATATACATGTATTACAACAAAAGCCTGTAATTTGCTATCTGCTGCTATACTGTGTCATTTTTACTTTTTTTGCTCTATCATATCATATTGATTTATGGCTTATTACATTGTGTATTATTCTACTATACCCTCACCCTCTTGGGGCCCCAGGAACCAGGGCCTTCACGCAAAGGCCTCCGATCACTTATATATATATATATATATGTTTGTATGCATTACATTACCATTACATTACATTGTATGTTGTTTTTCTCTGCCATGTTTTACTGTATATGCGTTTGTATGTACATATGTGTGTATATGTCATACTCTATCATACTGTATTGTACCTCAGTGCGATATCATACAATGCAACATACCAAAATGTAACATGAGATAGTGTTCGTATATAACAAATAGCAGTGTGGTGAGGTAGAGCACCGTACCGTAAATTATGGCATAGCTTTAGTATCGCACAGTAGAGTAGGCTAGACTTAGAATCCCATAACATGCACCCTAAAGCCTAAACCTTTTTCGAGGTCCGGGCTTCCTTCAGCTGTTTTCTGCATTCCGCGACCTTTGCCCCCAAAGTTGTAACCAAAACCTGTTGCCGTCGGTTTTTCAGGTGTCTGGGTGTATGGTTCACCTGCATGGACCCTGGAAAGCCTACTTTTCTCAGGGCTCTTTATCATGGCTTGTGATGTCCTTATATATATATACACATAAATACACATAGTCCTTACACCACGTTATTTAGGGTCAAGGTCGGGTTTAGGGTCACTTGGAGCCAAAACCCAGTTCTCTCAGCTTCGTGACCTTCGACCATCACTCCTCGACGTGACACCCCTTTCAACTTTCAACCCGAAACCTAGGCCCTCAGACCGAAGAAGTCTCCGAAATCTGCGAGCAAATCCCATTCTTTCGAGCTCGAAGCAGGTGATCGGTTTGTGCAGATCGGCAACTTCCGAGTAGGCGATGTGGACGGAACGCACTTCTCTGTCACCCATGCAACTCGCCAAGGATTACGGTCTTTGACCGGCTGGAACCAAGGGTTTTTGCACGGCCCCAAGGGACATTCATACACGGTTTTCCACAACAGAGGCGTCATAGAAAAGACAAGGGCAGAGGTTGAGGGACTTGCGGCTGAGCGTCTGAACCCATCTCTTTAAGGGGGATCGTTGACTCTGAACAACACATAGATTTTCAAGGCCTTATAGGACAATGAAGAAGTTCACCTGTGTTATGCTTTTTCCAAGCGCGAGGTGGGTGGCCAGACCTCGCAGATTTTTCGAGAGGATGGAACGGTGCATCCAGGGCCCCGGTCGGACTACACAACGTTTGGCCGACCGCTGAGCGAGTGTCAATTGTATTGAACATGACCCAGGTCCGAGATGTTTCAATTTGCACAGCGCAGCGGCAGCAGAGGATGTTGTAGTCTAGACCGGCGCCGGCGAGCACCATTCCGGTCGGGGCTGCCAGTCGCCACCATGGCATGTGTATCAGGCCGGTGGGGCCTGCCATCCCCGCCATCCCCAGGACTCAATTCCAGCTGCTTTTGTTGTGGAGTGCTACAACAGCACCTGCCGCAGGATCGATCGATCTGGGTTTACTGAGAATGGAAAATAGGACATCCACAAGTTCGCAACCGCTCACAGTTCTCAACTTGTGCCTAACTTGTGCATGGGTTTTCTTCAGGTCTCCTTGATCATTGAATTATCTTGGGTTCTTAGTTGTCACGCATCCCAAGGGACCATTATCAGTGAGGTCATTCAGGTCGTTGCGCTTCAGGAGGTCAAAGCTGCGGCTGCTTGATGGCAGGCTTCTTTTGCGGCTGGGGTTTAGCTAGGGTTTAGCTAGGGTTGAGCGGTTAAGGCTTTGCTTGTGCTTTGGGACTTTGGGCTAATGTTCGGTTGATTCACAGTCACATGTTTCTCTCACAGGATGCATGGCGAGGCTCGGTACCGGGAAGCCTTGGGCTTTGGCTTTGCCTCCTGACCGTAATGTCGTGAGAGGATCAGACATTCGTACCGAATCCGATCCTCCATGAGGAGCTACGGCCCAGCAGTAAGACGCATAGCCTTAGATTTCAAAAGCATTTCCTTTCAGCCGATGTTTGGCTTAGGAGTTCGGTTGCAGCTAAACCCTTATTCCCACACCATAAATCCAAAACCCTGAACCCTTGAACCCTCCATGCGGAGCTTGAGCGCGAGGAGCCCCTGAACCGCAAAAATCGCCCACCAAGAATCCCAAAGAGAAGCACACCAAGACCTCAAACCCCAAATCCCTAAAACTCCAAAGCCAGAAAAAGCCGCAAAAGCCCAAGCCCCTGAACCCAACCCTCCTTAATAAAGCCCTGCAGCCGGGGGTTTGGCCTCAGGCGCCTGTGGGACTCGCCGATTTAGACCAGAAGGCCTCTGCATTTTCGTTAAGGATCTTGGGGGTTTCGGTGTTTTCGGATGTCCAACCTGAGGGCTCTATTGTGCGACCGCGAGTTTCCCCTGGAGTTCCTCTCACCCCGTAGCAGAAAAAAAGCCCCAGCTTCAGAGAGCTACGGGAATCCTCACATGGAAGCAGTCAACAGGGTGTGTTAATTCTCTGAGTTGATGTCTGTGGATTCTGGATGCGACGGGGGTTGAAGGATCATTAGGGCGAATGACTAGACCATGCCTGCAATTCCCGCCGCTTCTTCAGCTTCGCTTGACAATTTCTTGCACCAGTAGATGAAGAATCCGAACAAAGGCTAACTGGCCTGAGTGAATTAGGCTACTGTTGAGTGTTTGATTGTATCAGGAGACTCAAAGGCATCGCAGTTTAGAACAGCCCACATACGCATGCTGAGACGACCGTTGCAGGGCGTGCCCTGTGCCGTCACAACCAAAACGCAGAGCAAAGAATGTCCCCTAAGCCTAAACTTGTTTTAGGCCTCGCTGCTCGTGCATTGCAGCCGCAAGCCCCGACACCTAAGCCTGGGGTCTACACCCTGACAATAAAGAGCCCAAATCCTACGCAAGCTTTTTCCATGGCTGCGGACTCCATTCTGTGCGCTCTGCCATGGGGACTGGAAATGAAGCTGGGCTTTTGGAGTAGGTTTGTGGCGTATAGGGCCTTGGGATTTAGGGGTTTAGGGCTTTGGGGTTGTAAGAAGAGCTCTGGGCATCCCTGCCGTACCTGTAACACATGACCTCTTTGCTGCGACCCGTGAGCCTTACGCGCGATGATTGAAGGCTGCCTCCCGAAATATGCCGGACAGCCCGGGTACTACCACCACTACTACGACTACTAGT